TTGATGCTTGTCTTATATGAGCTTTTTGCTACGATTGTCCAGTATACAAAGATTACAAAGAAATTAGATTTATTATTTTGTAATACCAGTACACTGTCTATTGGTAGGCGATGTTTATCTGCGAGAGAGCATTAGTCACTACGTTGAATTCGAGACGAGTTGGCTACTCTAGTCTACGATATATCGATGACTCATGTACAGACACGATAATAGATTAGCAACCTAATACTTTTGTGAAAGAGTTGAAAATCTATTAAATTATACCTTAATGTGCTGGTAATCTGTACCTGTATGGGTTTTCTGTAATTATCTCTGAGTCAGTATTCATGTATTACTTTTTTTAAACATGTTTGTTGGTTTGTTTTCCTTGATTGACTTTGTAATGATGGGAATTCGTCTGTGTTGTGTTATGAATGTTAGATATCAAAATAAATAAAAATAATAATTTCAATCAGTATCGTTTTTATACTTAGACTAGCAGCCCGTCCCGGCTTCGCACGGGGTAGACAATTATTATTTATTTTTGGAAATTTGGATTGGTGTAGTGACATAACTGCAATAGTTGGACATATGCTACCGCGGAGTTTTTTGTAGACATTATGATGTTCATCAATATTGTTGTACATTATTTTGTTCTATCGCTAATAGTTTCAGTAGCGCATTCAACGAAAGACATTTTAGGACTCATTTTTCTACACCTGCGGTTACATTATTCAAATTTTACCAAGGATCCTTAATTTTTTTCAAAATGAAATGTAGCCTATTGGAAGAATGTAGCATTCTATTGGTGAAATAATTTTTTAAATTGGCCCGGTATTTTTTGAGCCTATTCATTACAAACATACAAAAATAGGTAAAAATCTTTCCTCTTTATAATATTAGTATTTTTTTTTTTTTTTTTTAAGGGGGGAAAATCATCGAATGACTGCTCCCGCCTGGGTGAGGCGGGAGGGAGTCTCAGACTCTTACTGACTAAAAACCACCCCGTTCCTTCTCCTGCACGTCGAGCCGAAGCCCCGGTTACCCGTTAGGTTCTCCGCGACTATAATATTAGTATAGATTACAAGACTGACTAAATAATAAAGTTTAACATATTTGTATGAATATGGTGTCTTCCGTCCAGTACAAATGTAAAGGCGACGGTTAAGCATGAAGTCTTAGAAGCGATGTAAGGGAATGTGGATCTTATAACTAAATATTTAAAACACAAAATACCTAGTCATAATATCGTAGATCTCAAACTTGGCGTACTCTTGTGCTGGTGTACCTACTCTAACTCTAGAGCCTTTCACGTTGATTCTCAACGGCAGTGTTCCTTTAAATGCCTCGTTCGCCTAGTGGTCGCAAGTGCGACTGCCGGGCAAGGGGTCTTCGGTTCGATTCCTGCGTCGGGCAAAATATTATCTACTGGGCTTTTTCAAAAAATCTCAGCTTTACTTCCTAAGATTATCTAGACACGACTGGCAGTCGCACATGCGACCACTCGGCCAACCAAGCATTGAGGAGTACATTACATTCTTATGAAATAAATACTCAGATGCAAAGATGACTTATGGCTGTTGATGAAGCGAAAGAGGTATGTAAGAATTGTAGCAATTGGTGTTACATAGTGTCTGCCTTTTTATGGGAGACACGCATAAGGTTATGTATGTATGTATGTATGTATACTTTACTATAAACATTAAACTAAAATCGCGGGTGTGAGTTACCCGAATGGTGAATATACTGAGAAAAGCTCTACTAGTTTCGAACCACAGAGGGGTTCTTTCTCATGAGTGAACTGCGCGACGTCGCCGCGATCGCGCACGCTTCAGTTAATTTAGCATATCTCACGATAGTTATTATTAAAATATTAAACATTTTTTTAAGAGTTTCCGGCAGTCTTTTTTAATTGTTTAGTGAAGAGACTAGTGCGTTCTATCATGTAAAAAAGCTTTGTGTATTATATACCCATGGATAAGGAAAATATTTTTCTACATTATTTGGTTATTACAAAGCAATTTTTTCTACTGATATTTTGTTTGTTAATTACTTGCCGTGTCAGAAATTCGTTTGTTTTTCTTTCTTCTTTACATTTTGTAAGTTAAGTCTAGTTAAATATAAAAACGTTGTTGTACCTACGTATATTTTAGAAACATGAAAGAAATATGAATTTACCATTTTTGACTGTGTAAATATTCTGTGAGACTTCATAGTAACATTAAATGTACTGTTACACATGCTAATTTCAAGTCTTTCAGGCTTCAATTAAACCCTTGTCACTTAGTAGCATGTGTGTCGGAATGTTACTCAAAATTAGCACGCTCATTTCAGCCATATTTGCGGATCGAAAAAGAGTAACGAATGGAGTTTCTTGCTTTTCTCCACTCGAATCTACATTTTGAAACAAGCACCTAGCTTCCCTGACGGATACACTGACAGATCATTATTTATTTTATATTTGTTCACGTTTCAAAAGTACCAAATTATGGTTTAAGGCTTTAATTGAAATAATGCTTTTAATTTTGAGTATGAATCGACAGGCGTTCGATTTTTAAACATTTTTGAACGTGCTCAAAGGAACGCCGTTTGGCATGGTGTAACAGTAACTTTATGTTAGGCAGCAGAAAAATGTAAAGCCCAATTGCACAGTAAGAGCGTATTCCTTTTTAAAAGGCCGGCAACGCACCTGTGACTCCTCTGGTGTTGCGGGTGTCCATGGGCGGCGCTGATCGCTAACCGGTGATTCGTCTGCTCGGTTGCCTCCCATTCCATAAAAAAGTAAACAAATTAGGCATCTCTCCATGATATATGTAGAAAAGCCAACTAACTCAAAGCAGTGGGCGTAGAAAGCTTTGCCTAAGCATACATGATAATTGACAACCGGGCGCTCCCTTAAAGTTTGATCATAAGAAGTGTGCAAGGCAGTGGGCGAGCTCGAAAATTTCCTATGTCGTAGGCGTGTTGATGACTCCAAGTTTCACATAATAACCAACATGATGAGGGCCAATTATTCATGTATTTATGGACGAAAAGCTGTCGCGTTGCCAGGTTCTGAAAGGATACCTAAAATTGTTGTCATCGATTTGTGAGCATCATTAAGCTTGTCCGAACTTTTGTTGTTCATGTACATTGTTAATTATATGTTGCGAAATAGAGGTAGTATATCTGATTTAATCAAATACTCCACGTGTTTTCAAGACAATAATCTAAGCACATATCTCTGTATCAAATGTCATACAGACCCGTTTAATACTTTTTTTGTATAAATGAGTAACACTCGTAGAGTAGCACTAAACAATAATATTTAGATTTCCTATAAACAGTATCTGATATTCTGGACGTTGTTAAAGACGATAGATATCCTGTATCCCCAAAAAAAAAAACAATCCGCGTCGTCCATGGACACCTGGAACACTAGAGGCGTTACAAGTGCGTGACCCGCCTTTTGAGGATTAGGAATTTGAGGTTCGTTAGAGATTTTTTGGGATTGAGGAAGGGGGGGGGGGATAATTGGGCATCCGGTAACATCACTCACACGACGAAACACAACGCAAGCCTTGTTTCACGTCGGTTTTCTGTGAGACCGTGGTAACACTCAGGTCGAGCCGGCCCGTTCGTGGCGAAGCATGCACAGCACATTATATAAACGAAATAACATAAATATGTTGATAAAGTAAAATTGTTAAAACTTCGCTTCCTTTACTGGGTGTCAGTAATGGAAAACTTCGGAACGCGTTTAACTGCGTGTTCTGGTTCACATCATTGAGTTTAACGACACGCTCAGACATTTCATTACGGTATTACGCGTACGTTGTGTCAACTTTGCCGTTAGATTTTAATTGCACTCAGTAAACAGAAGTCTGTAATTTTATTATACTTCGTCTATATTCCGTACAGTCAACGCCCACATCATGAACTTTATATTTTATGTACTTCGATGTGTGTCTTGTTGATGTAGTGGCAAGTTGAAGAGGCAATAGGGATTTGGTATTTAGGTATATGTAGGAATCTCGATTGTACATACTTCAGGATTACTCTTGTAATTAACATAAGATCACGCCTTTTATCACCGTAGGCGTAGGCAGAGGTGCAAATTACGCCAATGTCATGTAAAATGTAATGTAAAAACACCCACTTTTCACTTTTTTTGTTATGAGTCCCATTTAATAGGAGATGAGCCTATTGCCATATACCGGGCACCATTCCAGATTCCGCTAGTATAGTAATAAAAACGTAGTAACAGTAGTAAAAACCCTATAGTGCTTTGCGACCGGGATCGAACCCGAGAGCCCTTGACCGGCAGTCGCATTTGCGACCAATCAGCCAACGAGGCAGTCTCTTGTACCTCTAATTAAGATTCATGAAAATTCAAAACAATAAAACTTCCTGCACATTAGTTCTGACTTTAGAGAGTAACTCGAGACATTATGAACTAAGGATGTCATTGTGCAAACAATCGATGCAACTTTGTTCTCATTGCTATTCGTCTACAAGTACTATTATTAGTTACCGATGGCTGGATAGATCAAAGCATTCCCTTCGCATAGCAGTTAATCAACTAAGAGCTTCCCGCAATCGTTTGCCAGTAACTGTAAACATTACTGAAAACATTTTAACGGTTATTAGTACTGTGAGTGATTTAATCTAACACCTTCAATGTTAAAATCGACTGGAAAAATATCGCGAATTCTTCGTTTTTAGCGAAATTCTTTTATAGTTAGCATGTGGTTAGCAAAACCATAAAATTGAGATCTGGAAAGCTTCAGCTGCTGATATTTACGTGTTAGTGATTAATGGCATCATTGTTACAATGTCTGGTGTACAAGGAACTATAGTCAGTATAGCTGGCGAGGTGATAGACTACTTATAGGGATTTACTCGTTTTTTAACGAGCGAAGCAAGCAAGGCGCAAAATGATTATGCAGTGCTGTTTATCCCGTTTGCAGTGTAGTCGTGCCGGCGTGTCGGTAATACGCGCACACGCACTCCGCGATTCCCGCATTTTCGTAGTGTTTGCTGCGACACCATTGCTATATAATCTGTGTTTATGAGTGACAGGTGCGTTGCTATAGCAACGACTTTTGAAAGAAAACATTTCGCGCGTAATTTATTATCTGTTTCTTTTTATTAGTCGCTGTTCTGTGTTTTAGAATCGTCGAAACAATGAATCTGAAGTTGAATAATGATATCAAAGGCTCGCCAGCACCTCAGAAATCATCAGATTCTCTTGTGAAGGTAATGCACATGAATATATATTTTTAAAAGGAGTTTGTGTAACTAAACATTAACAGGTATGTCTAACTGTAGTTACATTGTATTGTAGGTACAACTAGTTATAAGATAACTTGGCTTTGTTATCGTATAAGTTTCACTAAGAATTTGCTTGTCACTGCGTTCTGTAACCAAGTTTCAGGTACTTAGGTACTTGCGTCTGCCATTGTTAACATTACTTGGAGTTCATTCTCACTTTACAAGAAGATAATATTATATTAAGTTTATTAAATTGTATCTAGTATATATTATAACAATATGTTTATTATGTATTTATGTTTTTTAGCTAAGTGTATAATGACATACACCGTGTTACTGCTGATTATTTTGCGATTAAATATTATAATAACATAGAAGTGTTTTAACAATAGGGTGCAAAAAATAGTTTATTCTAAAAATTCATTCAGAGAGTAATTGTAAAATATTTACTAGATCTGTGTATGTTACGGCGGCGGTAACGAACATAAAGTTGCTAAAATGAACAGCATTGAAGATACGAAAAAATCTTTTTTAAAGAGTTAAGAAAATTTATTATAGGTATCCATCTGGCTGAATGAAATAAGTCTACAATCTACCTACGTTGTAGAGAGTAATTGAAAATAATTAATAAATTGATAAGGGATTTCCGAACTTACGATGTAGATATTTGGTTTATCTATTTTGTTGTAATTTCGTTAAACTCTTACAAATAAGGATTAGCTCCATCGTAGGCCGCATCATCACTTATCACAAGGCGAGATAGATATTTTAATGGACCAAACTTCGGTCCATTAAAATATATATAAAAATAGACTTAAATGAGTTTGGTGCTTTGAAAAAATGATATCCATCCGTATTGTCCTGACGTTTGTCCTAAATCTGAACTTCAAAGGCTTTAATCACAGTAGTACCAACCTACATACCTAAATGTTATTGCCATATACAGTCAGTGAACGTATTTCTAATTTTCAAAGTCAATTCAATTGAAAGAAAACCTTTGATCGTCTCTCATTATACTTTTGAGTTAGTTGAGCGGAACAATTTACTTTGATGACTCTACGTGGGTTTATCCTAATATTTTTACAATTCCAACGTTTCAGGATATCATAATAAATTTCAAGCCTTTGAACTTCATCGAGGTTTTAATATAAGATCGAAATTATTTGCGAAATCCCAAAACGCTCGTCCCAACGAAACCTTTAACAACCTATGAAGTTTTCTTGTTAAAACTCTCATTCTTGTGTTTAAGTTTGGAGAGACGAACCACGTCGCTAATAGATAAAACATATTTCAATTTAGGGAACATTATTTATTGGACGGGACGCGTGAATGCATATGTAAACGAAACAATGGTACAACACTCGCCCACAACTGGCCATAATTTCAATGCAAATCTATAAACTTTGACAGGCATAGAACGGGCGCAGTTTTAAAAAGATCCCAAAAATAAAAATACAATTTGTATTCACGTCACAATTTATCGTTTAGTAAAAAGAGAATCAGATGTAACATAAATATGGCGAGAGAATGATGAGGGTTTGTGAGAAACTCAGAAAAACAGTGGTTAAAGTTAGTCGGTGATAAAGTGGGCGAGTTTCCGTAAGTCTGACACTATCCTTTCGGTCCTTTGGGGGCTGAGTTAAGCCGTCCGCGTCTACTACCCGTTGTATTTTGCCGCGGGGAACTTTCAAAACCCAACGAAACTATCACAGCTTTGTGGTCTTGGTATTACGAAATTACAACCTGTTATTCTAACAATGATGATGTAATTAGATATTCTATATTATGAGAAGGGTCGCCTGCAAATAGTCCATTGTTGGCAAATATAATAAATAGATAGACGACCGTGATTAAAAATAGTTCAATGAAATTATTTAATAATCAATTTTAATCTAGTAAGGTTGCAATTGACGTCGTTTGAATATTTTCGTATCATGGCAATGTTTAGTAGACAAAGGCATCTTAGACATATATGTATATATACCTCTAGAGTCTTTAGTCCTCTGAATTTTCTTGAGGTTCTCTTCTCTGAGGTTGTCTTCTCGGTAATTAGACATTTTGTTAACAACAGTAGATTAGAAATTTTGTTAACAAGTGAGTGTGTAGTGTTAATGTCTTATATTTGATATTTATTTTGGTATATTTAACAGTGTGATATTTAACAGCTTATATCGTTTGCTCCAGTTCCTACTTTCTTTTGAGGGGTATAATGTTTAGTTAGACTCTGACTAAAAACACCCCGTTCCTACTCCTGCACTTCCAGCCGGAGCTCCGGCAACCCGTTCCGCGGCTCTGCTCCAGTATACCTGATGGTGGCGATATATTAAGACATGCCATCGTGAATCGATCCCGAGTTCAAAATTTGGTCGACATTGGCAAGAAAAGGAAGGAAAGTACGTGTAAATATATCGCCTTGCTCTTCTTTTACAGGATGACCAGAAAGCCAAGCGGTCTCAACGGGAGGTACGTTAGTACATGATAACATACAGAGTGCTAACTTTTTTTAAATACAACGCTTTTAACAATTTAATTGAACTGTGGTTTAAGGACTGAAGTTTTGAATTCATTACCATGCTTGAGAGTTTTCATACTGCACTATGAACATTTTTCTTTTCTGTTCGAGAAGAAAACTGTGAAAGTTGATTCTCATGTTTCTAGTCTTCTTGAGTCCTTGCATTCGTGATCGTTAAATCACCCATTATACAATTTTGTATTTTGGACACTCATCGTTTTTTCTTTATCAAAACACTATCAAGTCTATGTTTCCCTCCCTTATAGCTCGATTAATAAAGTTTTATATTATATCATTTCCACCTTTTTAATCATTACCTACTTGTACAAAAGTGGGTAACACTTTTCCTTGTCATTAATCGTTTGGTTTGGTTTTTAACTAATTTCTGTCTGGTTTTGTGTTAGTGTGATTACTGATTGATGAAAACGATTTCTTTAACTTCATATTTGTATTTTTATTTCAGCCAACTAATGTAAGGCACCTCTAATAGAGGGCGGGCCAATCGATATAATTAGCCTTTTGAATCCAGAGACTAGATTACAATCTAGTATTATAATAGACGGATTTATTGTTATTGTAGTTCACAATCTGTCATTACCAGATAATAACAGAACGCTAACAAACGCTAAGTTACTTAATCAGTATTATATAAATAGAAGTTGTTGAATGAGTGTTATATCGGGAGTCTATTACGAGAATGAGATAATTTATCATTAAGTTTGTATACGATGATGTAATTTTTTATTACGCCCACAGAGAGTATTGTGGTCCTTTTATTTAATAGGTTTTCATTTACAAGGCTTGACAGTTAAATATTAGGTTTTTTGCTTACTCACGTGACTGTTTGACGAGGTACTCGACTAGTTTCAAGCCATGCTAGAGGCTCATATACATGAGCAGCATTCCGCGACCCGCGACGCGGCAACTGTCGCGCTGCTACTGTTTTAATAATAATGTTTTAAGTTTTAATATAAACAAGGCTTGACAGTTAAATACTATTAGAACGGGCTACTTCTACATAAGAGAGTTTATAACATATTCAAGCTTGGCTTGTGGGTTCAAGATGTTGAAAGGTTCAGTTTTAAGTAAAAGATAACAAACTGCGCCTACGACTTCGTTCACGTGGAATAGTGACATTGGATAGTTCTTCACAGCTCCTCCTCTGTAGGCTATATCTACATATTATATACCTATATGTTGACCAGGTCTGTTAGTAATATTCATACAAAATTTGAAGTAAATCCATGGAGTACTTTTCGAGTTTAGCTCGGACATGAGCCGGCTCGACCGTAGTGAAAGTATGGGAGAGCCATGCTTCGGCACGAATGGGCCGGCTCGACCGGAGTGATACCACGGCCTCATAGAAAACCGACGTGGAGTAACGCTTGTGTTGTGTTTCGTCCTGTGAGTGAGGTTACCGAAGGCTCAATTACCCACCTCTCCTTCCCCAATCTCCCCAATCCCTGAATACCTAACGATTCTCAAACTCCTTATTCCCAAAAGGCCGGTAACGCACTTGTAAATCCTCTGGTTTTCCAGGTGTCGTTGGGCGACGCCGATTGCTTATCATCAGGCTTATGTCACAAAAAAGGCGTCCATACAGACAAACAGACAAGATTCTAAAAACTTCGTTTTTGGCTACTATGTCGATTATAGATTTTAAGAAAGTATTAAATGTACAGTTTGGCCTTCCTACGATATTATTATTTGTGATGACAGATGTTGCTGTCCGGGTTCTGTTAAAACGAGTAGACCTCAAGTGAGTTATAGTCGTAGGAATGGTGACAAAGTCTTCAAAGCATTCTACAGTCTACTCTGCTACGGTATATGCAAAATGTGTCTTAGTGAATTCAGAAAACCGCTGGCGCCATTTGACACAAACAAAATCACATTCAAAAATTAATGTCTCTATAAACGTCTGTTTACTTTTAAAAGTCTTTCTTTCGATTAGAACGAGATAATAAGACAAACATTAGTTGTTTGATCTTGCATTAAATGGCCTTGTAAAAAAATCCACTGTTATGAACTTTATTTTGTTAGTTATAAGGATGGTTTTCGTGATACTAGGGTGTATGCTATCTCAATCTGTGGATGATTGAATCAGGGTTCCTGATTGATAGCTGATGCGGTTCAGAGACGAGGCCCACAGGTGGTCAGGGACGGTCGCAATCTAATCACTGCCCTAACATTGTTACTGGTTATATCGGCCTTGCGTTTCCATTATACGTATCTTCTAAATATAGATGACGGTATATTGACGGAAAATGATTCCCATGTTTTTCATCACGACAATGGGTATGCTATGTAGTTTTTATGTAAGTGGCCTGTGTACAATTGTTTGTAGGTTATTCGTTACAACAACTTACTCAATTTTGATCAGCAGCTGTAGCCAAATGCCATTTAGCGCTTGTCTACATTTAGAATAAAACCAAATCATATGGAATTTCGTAAATTTTGACACTTGTCAGTGTCATCCCCATACATTTTGATTTCTACTCTCTCTGTAGACAAGCGCTGAAGTGGCGTTTTGCTATAGGCCAAGATTATACTTCTGTAGTTGCCATGGAAACGACTTCTAACACCAATTACAAACTACATACATAGATCATACTTACCTACCTATGTACTTACATATTACTTTTCCAAGGGGCAACATCGGCCAGAAATAATAAAAAAGTGGTTTAATTAAACATACAATTTTTACATTATTTACAGCAATAAACTTTCAAGGAATTATATTTCTAGAGTTTATAACAAACAGTCGGATTCAGCTTTTGCTAAGGATGCTAGTTGCATGACCACAAAGAGATTTATTTTTATAGTTATCTTCTTTATATATATAATTCTTCTCTGAGTGTGTAGGTATGTCACTGAACTTCTCTCAAACGACTGGGACGATTTTGATGAAATTTTTTGTGTGTGTTCAACACATTCTGGGAATGGTTTAGATTCAGAAATCAGCCCGGCAGATGGCGCTGCAGTCGATGTTTAGGTTATTTATCCTAAACAGCTGAACTAATTTGAATGAATTTTTGTTTATACATTCAAGTGGATATGCAGGACAACGTCTGTTGGGACCGCTAGTCTATATATATAAAAATGAAACCCATTTCCCGTTGTCACGCCATAACTTGAAAACGGCTAGACCGATTTGGCTGATCTTTCTTTTGTTGTCTTTATTATTGTCAGGAGATGGTTCTTACGACAGAAAAAAATCGTGATACTCCTACGGGAACGGGAGAAAATGGGACTGCGCGTACGAAGTCGCAGGCAGAGGCTAGTAGTAAATATAAATTAGTTCTATTTATTTTGCAACAAACATTTTATGTCCCAAACGTTAAACATAAGACGAGTTTTATAGCTTTTGTAAATGATTAACAACGCTCATGATTTAACAAGGTAGATGTTAGGGTACTTACGTTGAAATTCCTCATTCTTGCTGCTGTTCATGTTCACTGTTGTACAAAATACCCAATACTAAGTATCTGAAATACAAAATGTAAGATACTTTAAAATTAAGTGTTTTAGATACCAGATACAAAATACTATTGGCATTCGTATCTGAAATACTAGATACAAGATAGGTATCTTTAAAATACTTGTTTTAAAATAAAATACTTTTCTAGGAAAACAACACCTGAATGAATACAAATTTCCTTATTTTAGAGGACAATGCTCACGAAGTATGAAAAAAAACCCAGGCTTGGCGCAAATCAAACATATCTCAGATTTTTAGTGTGATCCTAGTAAATACTACATCAGAGGCATCATCGAAATCAATTTTGAAATTCTCCTATTTATTACCTACCAAAATCTTTCCAAAATTCTATAATTATGGTGTTTACATAATTTGGGCTAGCTATTAGTGTTAAAGCTTATTTATTACGATCAAGTGCCCTTACATGTTTACTAGGTTATCTAGAACCAATCAAAGATAGCATCAGAAGAAAACTTTACAGTCATTCTCTCATTACTCTCATACCGGCTATTTCTTCGTATCGCGCCATTCAAATATTTTAAGGCCCTACGTAAGCAACCTTTGATCCTCTTCACAGATTGTAACCTTCAAAGTTCAACCTTCAGTATATATGTATGTATTATTGTTGTTCATGAATCCTAAATCCATCGAATACTATTTTTAAATTCTCAGATCAGTTTGTCTTTGATCAATAGTCCAAGAACGTAAACGTTTATTGGTTAATCTAAAAGCATTTTTTTTAATTTCTGACGTCACAAGGGACTGTGAATAACATCCGGGAGTACTCAGATCTAGCAACCAGGGGCAAACTGAACATAGTATGGACTTCTAACATTTGATCGCGAAATCGTTCATAGTTATAAGTCGTTGTATAGTCCTCATAAAATGTATGTATGGCGGTATGGTTACTCAGTAAAACGTAAGAGTTTTGAACGATTTATTTTAATATATATTATTATACAAAACTTCACGCCTGTCTCCTATGGGGGTAGGCAGAGAATATGGAATGCCAATTGCTACAATTCCTACATACCTCTTTCGCTTCATCAACAATCATTAGACTTTTCATGCATGCTCGTCGGTTAAGGGTAACTTTAATTTGGACTTATTAGGATACTTTATATATTGCCAAACTTGATATTATTATATAACTAGGTTTCCGACTTCTGGTCTGTGTGGTCCTCTACGGGCCTGAGTAGAGATTCACGACTTAGAACGATTTGTAATATTTTGTATAACATCTTCATTGGGTCACTATTTCCCAGGCCCCTCTGACCCAATTCGACCCTGACAACAAATACATAACTGTAATATCAGTCCTTGTTTAAAATTCTTTACAATTTATTTTCAGATATTTTATTAAAGAATCGGTCGTGCACGTAAATAAGCGAGCGAAGTTTTAACGTTTTACCAAGGAGATATAAAGTTTGCGATTCGTATATATTATGAAGTCCTTGTGCTTTATATTGTGGTGAAAGTAACATTATATTTATGTAACTTCTTAGCTATGTAAAAGAGAGCGGAGAACATCTTATCAATACATAGTATAAAACAAAGTCGCTTTCGCTGTATGTCCGTATGTATGCTTAGATCTTTAAAACTACGCAACGGATTTTGATGCGGTTTTTTTTAATAGATAGAGTAATTCTTAAGGAAGGTTTATATGTATAATACATGCATATTGCACCCGTGCGAAGCCGGGGCGGGTCGCTAGTTTCTGATAAAAGATAAGGCAGTAAAAAAGGGGCAAAGTATGTATATTTAACTTATGTGTTTTTAATGCTGCCTGGCTACATCGGTGACCGAGTGTTCGGAAGTGCGTTTGGGTCGAAAGTGCGAACGGGTCTCGGGTTCGATGCCCGGATCGGGCAAAGCATTACTGGTTTATTTTTAAATCTCAGTAGTAGGCTCCGTGATGAGCCTAGAATTGTGCCCGGTATAAGGCAATAGACGCACCCCCTATTACATGGGACTCATGACATAATTAGTGAAAAGTGAGTGTCACATTGTACAGTGGCGTTAAGTGCCGCAATTTGCAACACTGCATTCTCCTTCGGAGATAAAAGGCGAGATGTTCTATAAGATTTTTTCAAACTGAATTTTAAGCACTACGAGTGATTAGTTAGACCAATACCTATATTCTTTATATATCTGTCTGGGTGGGAAATTCAAGCAGCATGTCAATTTACACCGCCAATCATCGTTAACGTTAGAACGGTTACCGGTAACCGGTGACAATTACAGGCTCGTGGACATTTCAAATTTAGATAGAAGCCACACGTGTTACCTAACTCGTGCATTGTCTCTCTACTGCATTTTGAATCTATGTCCCTTTTAAATAAGCTACAGTTTGCAGTACTTCCGCAGTTTTGTGAATAGAATGACCGCTTTGCCGTCGCAGGTCGTCGGGAGTATATTATGTAGCTTAATTCTTTCTTTTACGATGGCATTGCGTCTAGTTAGTTTAAAGCTTTGACTGCAAATAGAAAACTGTTGAAGGCACTTCCTCCGTTAATGTCGGTCACTGATGACTCCCATGGTGTTTAACGTGTCAACAAATATGTTATAGGCATATATATATTTATATATCATAGCTTAGCTATTGAGTTATGCTATGGGTTAGCTATGGGTTATTCAGTGTCATGAGTACGTATGAGGTTTTAGGATCAAATTTAAAATTATTTTATGATAAAACAACGATGCAAAGATAGATAATACTAATACTATTAGGTACCAACAAAAAGTGGAAAAGTAATATAGAGGTACTGTATGTAATACATATTATGATTGGACCCTTATAATCATAATGTACTTTACAGTGAAACGTTGACCAGGCAAACATAAAGGAGACACGTGTTATGCCCTGTAACAGAACATTTTATTTATTTTTAACCGACTTCAAAAAAGGAGGAGGTTATAGAGTTTACAGACATGTCGGTTGAGGTTTGTCACGTCGCGCCATATTGCAAGAGACAACAGACCGGACGTATATCATTTTGTTGCCCTCGGGAAACCAGATAAAAGGTTGAATTAAATATTTCGAGTACAATAAATTTTAGATATAAAACCTTGGTTTCGTAATAAAGTACGCAGGTTGATATTATACAAATGCTTGGGTTTAAACAAGTCTTTCCTTTATTTGAAAGAATTGATTTATTACTGTAAAATGAGTAAAATGTTTTGAAATTTAAATAACTCAAAAAACATAAAATCTTCAGAAATCCAAGGAATAATCTCATGCCGTCACTACCTATGGCTCCTTAGTCGATAGGTCGTAACTTAGCTGTATTTCAGATTTTCCAAAATTCTCAGTATGTAACACGGAATTATGGTATTATGCCCATTATATGGCAATAGCAATAGGTAGGTACCCTTTGACATCACAATGCTCAACCATTCTTCATGTGAGTGAGAGCCTTTGGCAGTGGCTACTTATAGGCTGTTGAGGTGATGTGAACTCGTCGAAAGTGGGTATTATGGTGTGTTTACGTGGAAAGACGTAGGGTGCACACACTAGCCTTCAAGTTGAAATAATTATTCTGAACTTTAATTTAAAACACCATATGGTACATTTTACAGGAAGAGCGGCGCCGAACTGGCCGGTACATGGCCATTCTGGTGGGAATATCTCTCTTCATACTTGCGCTGTACCACGCCTGGGTGCGTCGCATCCCCATAGTCGCCAGCCTTGTGGTGCCAGCTCTCATCATGTTTGTGTACGTCGCCTGGATCCTCTACACAGCCTCCAGGGAAAAACACAGGGTAAATATCATTATTTATAGTTGATCAACTAACTAGTGTTTTGTTACGGTTATCTGAGAGTGGAGTGTGTTGCAGGGTTATTAATTTGATTTGGTTATTATAATCTAATTGCAAGCAGTTACTAATTGCAATTAAATAACCGAACAAGTTCGGTCAGGAAGTGGTTGTCTCATAAACGAAATTTCTTTTCTTTCTTTCATTTTCTTTATATTTTTTTAAGGGGCAAAGTCATAGAATGGCTTCTCCCACCTGGGTCAGGCAGGAGGGAGTGTCAGACTCTAAAAAACCTAAAAAACCACCTCGTTCCTTCTCCTGCACTTCGAGCCGGAGCCCCGGTAACCCGTTAGGTTCTCCGTGACTCATTTTCTTTATATTAAATTGTTGTTAACTGTATGGTCATGTCAATGTCCCAAGGACAGAAAGAGTAGCTCCACAAGTGGCACATAACATCTTTTCAAGTCCAATAATTATTACATAATTCTAATCTCAAATTGAACGAGAAATTACCATGGCAAACGAAAAAGCACGTATGAAGGTTAATGAAGTTCATTACCACACTTCAGAGAAACAACCTTTCAATGAATGTTTGCAAAACTGTCAGTATTCATGTGTTAATATTGGAATGTACCGTAAAATTGAAAATGAATGCTGATGTGCGAAAGAAACAATGTTTCGTTAAGACCTGTACGGTGTACCCATTGTTTTGTAGTCTTTACGGTCTTTATAAACAATAAACATCATTCTATATGAGCTTAAAGAAACAACATCCAGGCGTTGGAACATATAAAAACAAAATGTATTAAGCTTTTTTTAATTACAACTTTATTTTTACTCGTACTACCAATATTTTGAAACCAAATATTGAGTTTCAACTGTTTTTATATGAAGAGTAACCGATATTCATAGATGTGCCTCTGCGTTGACGGGAGGAGATGTCCTTCAGAACCGTGTGCAGAAGTGCTGTGCCTAGACGCTGGTGAGGCCGTAGGGAAGAACCAAGCTGCACAACTTCGTTGCAGGCGATGGTGGTCCCTGATGAGGCTGAGGATGCTGGTTGGCTGCGACTTGATTACCGCTCAGCGGAGAAATGATGAATGAGAGGGATGGCGATACGGATGACGGTGCTGATCTGCTCCGTTAAGTGAAGATTACTTCCAATCACGTCGGGGTCACCACTTTAGGAAACAGAGAGTATTGTTCCCTAAGATCGGAAAAGGAGGATCCTCCGACCAGGCGAGGTGATCGTGCCTGGCGGGCTTAGCATCGACAGCCGTCTCAGCGGGATCGACCTCCGGTCTTGGGAGGGAGTGATGTGGCGACACATGGTACATTCTAACGGATGACGTCATAAAAATCCTACATCGCACATGCGAAGTTTACATTGGATTTAACACGGATAGAAAATCCCAACGAACAACTGTTGGGCAGAAAGCCCGCCAGGCACGATCACCTCGCCTGGTCGGAGGATCCTCCTTTTCCGATCTTAGGGAACTATACTCTCTGTTCCCTAAACTGTTTTTTTTCTTGTTGCTTTAGTTTGTACAATTGAATTTTTTTTTAAATAATCAATCATCACTTTGTTTCGATTAAGTTGGTTACAAATCTTAGCAGTAGAAACTGCCTTGTTAGGTACAAAATGGGACCAATGGTAGCTACGTTTTATTACTTCTTTTCAATCTATTTATCACTAGATAGTATAAAATAAAGTTGATATCCGCCGTCTGTCTGTCCCTATGTATGCTTAGATATTTAAAACTACGCCATTTTTAAGGATGGAAAGGATATTGCACTGCTGCGGGGCGGGTCGCTAGTACAACAATAAAATTAAGTAATGTAATCGATTTAACTTACCTTCAATTAAATATTAAATTTCAATTACACGATTCAAAGTTCCATATGGCTAGAAGAACATATTAATAAAAATACATCGAACTAGAGACGAAAATCTTTCCAATTTCAATAAACGAATAAGCTCAGAGCGAAGCGCTTATTTCCTACTAAAATAATAATCTGCGGGTGCAATATTGCAGACTACTGCAGCCGTCGGATGCGGTAGCATCTGATATTTCGCACTAAGTGACTTCGATGTCACCGCAACCCAATTAGAGGGACAAATTCTGTTACTAAGTCTCACCGGTTATCAGAATTCCTGAGCAAAAAGGCTTTTGCCCACACCTTATAATATGTTTAAAGCTTATTAGCCATTTCAAACGTATGTGTACAGTGAGGTATAATATTGAAAAGGTTGTTTTTTTCTTTGAAATATCCCTTGCTCAGTAACCACGCAACTAACGAAGTACCTAATTATAGGGATATTACACATACAGACATAATTGTACCTACATAGGAGCTGAACATTTTTCTTACACTTTTTCCTTAGAGAAAGTCGGACGTTTTAATGGTTTGAGTGCACATAGTATTCTGCTGGTTGTATAAACCGAATATGTTTATGAAACTGGGAAATATTTTAGCTGGCCACGGGTCACTATGCGGCACATTACTCAACATGTTTGCAAACAGCCATGACGCAACGTATCCCCAGTGAATGCAAACATTTTGTCAAACGACAACTTCCCTGCTACAGCATTATTTATATTATGATTCATCATTTTAAGAGTCCTTTTTGTCCGTTACGACGAAGTTTTAATGTCTTTTTTGCAACCGAATTCGTCATAAAGTTCTGAGTACCGGCTGCGATGTTATGTTTATGAGTTTTGCAGTTATTGTATTTTTTGGAAAGCTATTAATTTGGCCGGGTAGGCACTTTAACGACAATGGAGGGCTTGTGGCGAATGAGTATGATTGACTACGGAGTTTCGTAATAGAAATGTGTATATTTTTTATGACTTAGTACAATTAGAATGATGTTAAAATACGCAGTTTCCTATAGAATGTTCAAAGTCAAAGTCAAAGTCAAAATCATTTATTTCAATTAGACCAGGATGGCACTTTTGAACGTCAAACAACAAAAATTTATAAGTGAAGCTAGTTGCTCATTCCAAGGCGTAGATTCCTATGGAGAAGAACGAGCAAGAAACTCCATAGGTTACTCTTTTTCAATCAGGTTTACAATACAATTCTCTAGTTACATAGTTTTATTGGTTCGATTATGTGAGAACAATGCAACACCCAAATCCAGTCAGAAAGACTGAAAAAGAAAATAACCTTGAGGATAATAAAATAAAATGATACAGTCTGGAGCTGACCAGTTCCAATCGACGGTGCCCGTTCACGAACATTTGGCGAAAACCTAGCACCGCCCAACTCAACCATTTTGTAGGGAATCGAGCGATCCAATGCACGTGCCACCGCCAACGAGATCTTTGAGTGAGCATGACAACTCCAAGCTGACATAAATGCAATCTACTAGTCTAATTTGATTTAGTTAATTACAGGGCTCTCACATTTACAATAAATTGTGCAACGTTTTAAACTATACAAATATTTAAGCAACATGATTATATTATTACACAAATAGAATTCATTGAACATCACTGTGTTTCATGTATTATCCTGCGGAGCCGGACCAGCCTGCCTCCAAGCACTTTTATCCTCTATATAATCATTTAGTTTGTAGTATGCTTGTGTACATAACGTTTTTTTAATACATAGTTTAAATTTTCTTTCATTTAGATGCAGTATTTCTTGGGGGATTTTGTTATAACATTTAACACCGATTCCCATGAACGACTTATGTACTTTTGACAATCTAAAAAACGGCGGACTTAATCTATTCTTATGTCTAGTTTCATAATTGTGTCTGTCAGACACTTTACTAAATAAATGTAGGTTTTTCCTAACATACATAATATTTTCATAAATAAATTGACATGGAACGGTCATAATATTGATCTCCCTAAACCTTTCTCTGAGAGATTCGCGACGACCTAGGTTGTATATAGCTCTGACGGCGCGCTTCTGCAAGACAAAGATAGACTCAATGTCAGCAGCGTGTCCCCACAGCAGAATGCCATACGACATGATGCTATGGAAGTAACTAAAGTACACCAGTCTTGCCGTGTCTATATCGGTTAACTGACGGATTTTCCAGACAGCATAAGCTGCAGAGCTTAATCGTCCCGCTAGAGATGTAATATGAGGACCCCATTGTAATTTGTCGTCTACAGTAATTCCCAGGAAAATAGTCTCTTTTACAAATTCCAATTTCTCACTATTCAGTAATATGTCACATTCGTTATTTTTAACGTTTGGCAAAACAAATCTAATGCATTTTGTCTTTTTATCATTCAGCACTAAATTATTTATTGTAAACCAGTTTTGAACCTTCATCAGAGCACTATTTACATCGTCATAATTATTTGTACGTCTATTTATTTTAAAAACCAGTGATGTGTCATCAGCAAATAATACCATCTGTGGTTCATTCCGGAATAAATGCGGCAAGTCATTTATATAAGCCAAAAATAGGAAAGGGCCTAGTATTGAGCCCTGCGGTACACCCATAGATATGCTAGCACCCTGTGAGTTTACCTTATTTACTTGCACCTTAAGTTGCCTATCCCGAAGGTATGACTTTAATAGATTTAGCGATACCCCTCTAATGCCGTAGTGTTCCAGCTTCAGCAAAAGCGTTTCGTGCTCAACACAGTCAAATGCCTTCGAAAGATCACAGAATATTCCAATTGCATCCTGTGCTTCTTCCCATGAGGCAACAACACGTTTTATCAAAGCTACTCCTGCGTCAGTAGTGCAGCGTCCCCTGGTGAACCCGTATTGTTGATCATGAAAGATAGAATTCGTGTTAAAGTGGCGCAGCATCTGAACAAGCATCAGTCTCTCAAACACTTTACTAAGCACTGGCAAAATAGAAACCGGCCTATAGTTATTAGGTTCCGCGCTATCACCGGATTTAAACAATGGAACTACTTTACTGTGCTTCATCAAATCCGGAAAAACCCCTTGATCTATGCTTTTATTAAAAATGAAAGCTAAATGAGGCGCTATAGTCTCTATAAAAGCCCTACACACCCTAACCGACA